GCGAAGCTTTAAATATGCATATATATATACATACATATGACATGGGCGCGATTTTAGGTAGTAGAGTTACAGTTACTTTATGATAATGTTAACCGCAACCTATAATGAAAAGAATAACTAAGGTCGTGATTGATTTCTAAAGAGATTTTCGCTTCAGAACGAAATTAAACGAAATCTGCATCACCGGCTTCGTAAAAACAATGTGTAGAATGCTGCTTATATCTTATTAAACCTAGTCGATGGAGCCGGAAACCTTAGTTAACTACTACAAAGAAACTACAACAAACTTACAAATTTTTTTTATTTTGCTCTTTGGAAGACGAACTCGAATTGGTTGAACCAAAACTGATAGCAGGTTTCGAAAAGCTTAAAGTAAGCAGCACTAGAAGCCCTATTATGGTACGTAGGAAAACTTACCTAGCACTATCGACGTCCTTTTTCTGAGTAGACCAGAACCCAGGGGTAGGTTTTGGGAGAGTTGTGGTGGAGGGTGGTGCTACAACTGTTGATGATACTCCTTAAAATAGTTAAAAAATTATTCGAGTTAGAGATGACCACCTAAATTTTATTTAAAACCAATGTTTTTGCACAGAATTTTCGAAGCGAAAGTTGTGATTTATGAATCTCAACGTCTGTACACTTTACCATACGAATCAGTTCCACGAAAAACAACCGTTTCAGGTCCACCATCGGGCCCGCCACCGCGAATCGCTCGTTTTCGACTGTGGCTTCTTGTTGGAAAATCCTCAGAAGCCTAAAATTAAAAAAAAAATACTGGATAATATGTGGACAAATCTAAACAAGAGAAAACGGCCCTATCATACCTTTGGGGGTGGAAGAGTTAATGTAACATCCACGTTTGGTTCCATGACCGACACATCTCTGAGAGAAGGAATTATTTCAACACCATGTGCGTAGACAGAGAGAGTAGATTCAATCACTTACCCGCCGAGACTGAATCGTGGAGGAGCACCGGAAGGAGTAGAAACATTTACCGAATTGTTCACTCCATTACTTTTTTCCGCTTCACCGACACGGCGTTTTGCCTTAAAATATCCTACAATATCTTCGTAAAAGGAGACGTACCAATCAGTGATTACTACTGAAGACTTCCACCAACGGGTTCATTTTACTTGACGAATAAGACTACTTTAGCCTTAACAAACAAATTTTTAGGTTTCGGTATCTTAAATTTTCCAATGAAACGCATTACGGACATTGACACGACTAATATTATAGCCACCATAGAAAAAGTAAAGGGTTTACTTGGAAGTGTAACGTCACTAGAGCTATATATCACCTCACAAAGAACTCTAGCTCCTCTCCAAATTCGTGTTATTCGATTAGTACTATTGCGCCAAAATGGGTGAATATGGTGATATAACAGAGTACTAGATGTGTATGAGTAGTAACTACAGCTATTTTTCTTACGAGGTTACGAAAGTGTTCGGCTGACTAAATTGTGTACCAATTCCACCGTTCTAAATTCTGAAGAAGGCAAAACCGCCGAAACGTTGAGCACTGTTTAATTATATATTAACAATTTTGCGTTTGGTCAAAAACAAAACATTAACTTAATAAATAAAACCCTATTTAATACGTACTTACTTGTACACTTGGATGGTCCGCCTTCGCTAGATGTGCAGGCCGCAGCACCTTCTCCAATTTTCGGAGATTTGCTGGCTTAGCCAATGTGGTTCCCTAGAGTCCCGGGGTCAGCCCGGCCAAAGTCTGCCCCACCACGGCACGCAGTCGAAGCCCTTTTGTATCGGAGGGAGGCCAGCATTTGACTAGTTTGATACCAGGACGGTAGTAGATCCTGCTTTAGTAATACACAACAGATAAATACTTCAACGCACTTTTATGATTTTTCGACCAGTTGTTGGTAGGTTTTTCGATACGGTTTTCGTTGTCGCCTTCCCCGAATACATTTCATCGAGCCGCTTTATGTGTTGGAGGTATGACTTCACTGGATTCGACTGAAAAGTTACTATCTTTTCAGAGTTACAAGTAAAGGCCAAAATAAATGAAAAATGAAGTTGCAGTGAAGCCTTGATATCGTTAAAATTGATTAAAAAGGATAAAGCTCTCGGCGTTGATCAATCTCTGAGAGATGTGCCATGCATTCGACTACACAAAGTACCGTTGGAGGTGGTTGAGTGCAGCGCATACCTGGCCTTCACAATGACTTGCGGTAGCGTACCGATGTTTCGAGCCAGTGCTGCTACTCTCCCAGACAAGTCTGGTACCAGTTTGGGTTTGGTAAGATTGGGGCGTGGGATCGATCCTGTTTGTACTGTGAGGCGACTCCGATCACTGGGCTACACTCCTCTTTGATCTTATTTTAGAAAAATCAAAGTCAATGAAAATCGAAGACCTATTTTTCTGAATTGATGATAGATGCAGTTATACCTCACGCCAAACCATAGGTTGTCTCATGTCCACGCAAATTTTCAGTGCCAGCAAAATAATGGTCGGAAATAAGCCAATATAGCAAACTCTAAGTACTTAGTTTATCTCCTATTAATGCAACCTACAAAATCATAATGGGCACATTGTTTGTACCATTCCTGTAAATGACGAATGAATTCTTTATTCAGTCGAGCAACTTTGTCATTGAACTGCAGTGTACGCATTTGTTGCTCCGAAGTTTGTTTCATCTCGTTGACAGCCATTGACGACGGAACAACAGGATAGGATAAATCCTGGAGGATAATCACTGCTTATGATGAAGAAAATCAATACGATGACTGTCCTCTAAGATATCAACTGCCTTCAAGTCAACATCATTCCTTTTCTGACATTTTCATAACCTCAACATTGCATTGTTCCCCAAAAAACCATCGAGCGTTCGTTTATTCTTTTTTACTGAAACTTTTGGATACAAGACGTAAAATCGTTCGAAACAAAAGTTTCCATAAAATGTTGCGAAGCAACTTTTTTCACAACCCATCTTCACATGTGTGTGGATCAAAGTAGTTCTTGTGTTCGATTCGTTTCCTCGCATCCGTCATTCAAGAAAGTCTTCGAACTCAAAGCATTCCCACATGGACTGCAGAGACTGAACTGTTCTCAAACAAATCTAGCCGCAATTTCCAACCCTGGAGAGAAGAGAGGCTTCGTGAGCTTGTGGCATGGTCGAACCAGTAGCGTGTGGATTAACTTAGTTTTAGTAAAAATAGTCAAGCAATCACAGAACGATTGCATTTATTAAAGACAGTCATCATGTCTGCTTACCATTTCGAAATTTCTCCAAATATTCCTATCAATGATCTGGTTGGAAGCAAACTCCAAAATGGATCCAAAGCAATGTCATTTCTCAAGCGGTTCCGCTTCATAAATTCAAACGTGGTTACGCAGCGAAGAAAGAAGCTAAAAATTTCTATTCATTAAGGCCCCTGACAATAATTCCAGACAATCTTCGACAGCAGGTCGAGACGTTCGAGAAAAACAATAGGTGATTCGGTGCTAAGCGCCATACAGATAATTCCAAAGACTGATGTTTCAGCCTTCTCTTTGTCGATGCATTAAGATACAAGCGAAAGTGAAGAACAGAAGTGAAGGTTGTGTACGCCATAATCTCATGGATTCCCAAATTCTGATTGGATGTTACTATTTCCCTAGCTAATCATCCGTCTATGGATCAAATCGTAATACGGAATATGCAAGAACTTAATCATTTCCTGGATAGCTCGTTCCTCCAACCAAACGGACTCATAGTGGTTTTACGGCGCGATAACGAACGGTCACAGTTTCCTTTCTTTCAAAATACTAGAGAAAGTCAAACCTGTCTCTGGATCAAACTGTAATATGGAATACGGACGAACATGGTCATTCTCAAGTGGAGAGCTAGCTGATCTACTCAAACGGAGTCGGACTGGAGGTATAACGCGACAACCCACGGGCCTATTTTTCGAGTGGTAATAAGAAAACTAGTATAATCTTAAATAAAGAAGACCAGCTTCATATCTTATATGTAAAAAAGCTTCTCCGACCGATCTTCACTTTACTGAAACGTCAAATTCGCATTACTTCTTTAAGAACAATGTACTTACCGATACGAAACGTCACAAATCTCTTCCGAAGATTATATCTGCTATAGTATTTTCCAGAATGAAACTCTTAAATTTTTCACACTGATGAAAAAGAAAGATGATTTTTCTAGCATACCCTATTCCGGATGAAGAGGTTGGATTTAGGCCGTGCGCAGGGTACGGAGATGGACGTGGTTATGAATGCCATATGATAAATGCACATACGGTCACAAGGTTCGACCCCACAATGAGCTAACGAAGCTCTCCTGGATTGGTAGTTAGATAACATAATTGTTTGGGAACAACGCTCCGATCAACAAAGGCCGGCCACTGCTTGAGGTGAAAACCTGAGGAATCTCCGGTAGATTTATCCTCGGATACCAGAAAGAATCCAATGGACCAGCATGCAACAACATTTACGAAAAGGATGAAATTCACGAGTGGCAAGAAAACCCATTCACAAACTCGGAAACTTCCGTGAATGACGGATGCTATACTATAATAAAAAAAGTGGTCGGATCCACACAATATTTGAAGTCAACAGTAGTCACATACGTGTGCCAGTACTAGGTTTTGCAAGAATACGTCGAGGATGCTCGTTCACTATCTTCTACCATAAGTGCCGTTTCTTTAGGTGCGTGGCATTGTTAAGGTTACGTAAATCTGCCAGAAAATTCATACCTTAGCAGTTTCGGAAATATTAATAAGAGCTAAGAAATCACATCCAACTAAAAAGCGTATATAGCTTTACGACAGTTTCGCTGTAATATTCCCACATTAACTAAAACTTCTAAAAAACAACTTATGGTGCAGAACTACTGAAGGCGATTCACATGGAATCCAGTGGTATAATAGGTCGGAAACCTTAAAACAATAAGAGAGCACTAAATTCACTTTTATCTACAATGATACAAACAGAAACCATCTGGTTAAAAACGCTCTAAAATCCATAAACTCTCGGACAACTCAGTTCTTGTGGCGATTTCTGTAGCTCTTCGGCTTGCTTAGAGCCTCAATAATGAAGATATCATTGTAGAGAGCCTAAAAAATCACAAGTTTGGCCTTCGGCCAAGAATTTAAGAAAATCAGGCCAAGTTCGGTAGGTTTGGGATAGGGATCTAGACAAAAAACATAGAAAACTTACTAGACCGAAAGACACAACTAGGAATCCAATCGACACAGCAAGATAGGTATTGAATTTCGCTTGCAGCTCATCGTAGACTTTTTTGTATGGTTGAAACGGTACAGGCATATAATCCAATGTAACTGGTGGACCAGGATTCACAACCTATAAAACGACATTTTTCGGACCAGATAACTGGTAATCTTGAATAGAACGAGAGTTACCTTTTCAAAATTGCCAGTATAACAAAGATAATGCTCAAGTTTTATGAATAAGAAGAATTATTTTATTAAAATCATTCACCAGTGAGAAAACTGTAACGTTTTCTGATTAGAGTGACAGTATTCCATGTAAGCCTACGGCCTTAAATAAATCCAGAAAACTGAAAGTAAAGGAAGAACCGAACAGGAAGCAACATGACCAGTGCTCTGACCTCTAAGAGAAAACACCGATTTGACTGACGAGTACAAAACAGCGCATTTACCTTTTTGAATCAACGCTCCCTTCAATATGCCGTCACTTAACTAAGACGTCTATTGAATCTTCAATCATGTTGAGAATTCTGAACACTACTCATAAAGCGGCATAGCGGCGTTTTCTGAATAGGACGGACATAAGTAAGCGCGCGTAGCGCAGTAGTCGGAGGCGTCCTGCAATGCACATGGGATCAATCTCCGCGTCCCGAGTTCATCTAGCCTTCAATCTCTTCAGTGTCGACAAATCGGTACCAAACTTGCCTGGGAGGGCAGCAGCACTGGCTCGATACATCGGTGGGGCACCGTAAATCACTGTAAAGACTAGATGTGCATCCAATCAGTTTCGACGATGCTTAGTAAAGTTGAATGCATAGTGTATACCTCAGGGATTAATCAACGGCGAGAACTCTATCCTTATCCTTTTAACATAAGCCAGAAGAAGCAATTCACACGTCTAAAAGGTGCTTCGTATCCAAAATCCAGCAGTATTCACTTAGAAACGAAAAACACTTCGTTTATGTGACAAGTACAGCTAACCACAGATGAAATCACTTAAAACGAGTACCAACAATGTAGTTGGATGAACTTACGGCTTACATCAATCAGTTTTCGTAGTGGCAAATCCCTTAAAAACAACATAAGGATATTGGAACACATCACCATACCCTACGTAGGCCACTAAAGGCCTGAACCTCATTCAACTCATTCAAGAAAGGCCGTCCAATCAACGAAAGAAGTGCATAAAACGTCTCGTTCAAGTCACTCAATCTTTTACGGCCTTGAAGAAGAAGACTCTTATTTATAGGTGTGGATTTAGAACCTCAAGAATCTTGGGCAGTAGACAATATTACCAGAACTTATCTAGAAAAATGTGTCAACAGCTTCACTGTTAATAAATCAAAAGAACGACTTTCTATAGTCCTTGGCATAAATAGTCGATAAAAGGATAAAAACACACAAAGCTCTCAACATTGATCGAACACTTAGGGATGCGCCGAGCATTCGACTTCATTAAGCATCGTTTGGAGGTGAATGAATACATATCTGGCCTTTACAATGACTCGCGGTGGCCTAGCGATATACCGAGCTAGTGCTGCTATCCTCCCAGACAAGTCTGGTACCAATTTGCCGACCACAGAGAGATGGAAAGTTGGGTAAGCCAGCAGCGCGAGTATCAATCCCATGTGTGTATTGCAGGGCGCCTTCGACCACTGCGGCATATACGCCCTTAGATAATCGACACCATCTATTTATATGTTCCTACGAACTGCCCTTGCTGAGCTGATAAAAGGTTGATAAAAGTCACTAAAGTCACATATACTTGCACCAACTCGCATCAGCCCAACAAGGGCTCCAATGTTACTTGTACAAAATGTGAACTACATTCAGACGACATTTAAAGAACTAAACCTATATAGAAAAGCACCACCATACTAGCATTATGGCGCTTTTGATCTTAGAAACCAGTGAACTTACTTGCCTTCGTAGTTTGTTTGACATCAAATCAATCACACTTACATCATGATGACTTCCAGACCCTTGACGCTTGGGTTGCTGTCCAAAAACACGGCGAAGGATCGCGAAACGTGAAAACAATGCACGGTTCATCCTTAACCTGAAACGTCAAAAGATGAAAGAAAATAGCATATGGGACGAACAGAAACGAGGAAGAACGAAGTGATAGCACGTATCATTAAGTGATTCTAAAGATAAAGACGTCCTGAAAACTTAAAGAACACAAGATTTAGAAAGAAGAACAAATAAAGATTATCTCTCAACCTCGTGTAAGCTTATCAAAGGAAAAATATATATTGATTAGTCATGCAGAGGTTAAAGGAAAGTCGGTTTTGAAACACAAAGATTTAGATTTGGCAAAGGCAGATAGAAAGATGACAAAAGAATGAAGAAACAAGAAAACATAACGTCGAAGGTTTGATGATGACCGCCCGGCATCATCGATCAACGACAAATTGCAAACGTTATCTCGCATTAATGGAGAATTTATTCTAAACTTGAACTTTCCAACGGATTGTTGGATGAAACCAACATAGGAGGAGTCAAACCCCTAAATTAAGAGTCCCCTTCAGGCCCATTTTACCTTTAGGTCACTAAGGCTTAAGATATTAAACAGCATAGGAAATAAATCCTACACTACACCTGCAGACGCTGTAATCAGCGAGCGTGCAGGTCTTGTCGGCGTTTTCGTTCGATAATTCTTAAAGCTTTCATCTTCTTCATATCGTTCATTCGACCAGTATCCATATTTTACACGTGGTTCGCTCTGCGCTCTTGTCGGATTCGGATATTATAAGGATCCAGACTAGGAGCTTCTATGCGGTAATATTTTTCTTTTACGGAGATACTGTACTTCAAGACATCCTTACAATCGTATCATCCATAGTACAGTATCCGATTTATTCCATCGCAGTGTTTTAAGGACTTATTAGCGGCGTTGTCAAAGATTCCAGAGAATTGTGATCAATGTGGTGTCCGGAAGAAATGAAACTTTTCGACGTGCTCTACTCTCCAATCGACATTGATCGATATTTCAGTGCAGCGCTATGATGCAGGATCCGAATATGCCGAATCACCATCCAGATATGATGGTCGAGCGTCGTCATATGGATGGCGAAATTGTCGAACCGAAAGTGAATGTTGATTCTCATCACCTAGTTCGAGAAGTACATCACGAAGATCAAGAGGTTCGTGCGTCTAGAAAGCACCTCAGATTTCCCCGTTCCTTCGTAGAATTGTTACCTGTTAGATTTAATAGTTATTATTAGCGAATCTGAGGGTTAAGTTGCTCATGGTGGTGGCTATCTAGGGTCCTGGAGAGCACCTCAGATTTCCCTGTTGTGGCAAGTCCAAAGGCTAAGTTACTCATGGTGGTTTCAGAGGCCTTGGAAGGCACCTCAGGTTTCTCCGTTCCTTCGTAAACTTGTTACTTTTTAGATTTAGTAGTTATTAGAGTATGAGGACTAAGTTACTCATGGTGGTGGCTTTCCTAAGGCCTTCGAAAGCACCTCAGGTTTCCTCGTTCCTTCGTAAAGTTGTTACCTGTTAGATTTAATAGTTATTCTTAGCGAGTCTGAGGGCTAAGTTACCGATGTTGGTGACTTTCTAAGACTTTAGCAAATTGAAGTCCAGCCAAAAATTCTATAGATGTCGTTCGGATTCCGATTCGGAAATTCAGCTTTCTGTAACGACAGTTCAGGTAGACACCAATACTAATTCACTTTCCCAATAGTTAGGATATAAGCAAATAGTACTACTGTGGTGTTTTAATGCACAAAAATAGCCAAAGGATACGGAGAATTCCGTTAGAATAACTCGCTAATTTATCCCATTTTCTTCTTGGAGTAAGTTCGGTTTTGAAGAGAAAATTCCTGGTTAATCTAGTGCTGGTTAATGAGTAGATCTACTTGTGATAGATGTATGCTATATCTATCAACGCTTATATTTCTATGTGGATAACTGGGTCTTGGACGAGCGTATGAAGAGAATGATTATGGATTTACAACGACACTGGCTTACCGATTATCAACAATCGCGGGAAAAACTACTCGTGGAGATGACTGAGAAGGTAGTCTCTCGTAGAATAATTAACATAGTATCTCATTTTCATGGACATTCGAACACATTCTTATGTGGCGAATAGTTTTCCTTATGGCATGACGTGTTACTTTGTTGTCATTCTCTTCAGCTTCATCAAGAATTTCTATCCGACCAGCAGAAAATCCGGACGGAATTGCTTACTCAGTTCAAGGACGAGTTGGATACCACGAGGTCTCTCTTAGCACCTATTTACTTTTCTGTTAGGCATGTTTATAAACCGTTGCGCATCAATCATCTTAGGGCCGAACTGGAAGACAAGTACAGAGAGTCGTTGAAACTCGAGATTTCGAAGTTAGTTGAGAAACACAAGAGAGAACTAACAGCTGCGAAGAAAAAGCAGTGGTGTTGGCAGTGTGAAAGCGAGGTGAGTTTTCCCATTTTTTCTCAGTTTTCGTTTATTAAATTATGAATTATGTTACTCAAGAGATTAATGTCGGATTTTCGTCCGTACGTATACTAAAAGTGGCACATCTCAGCTGAAAATAAACACTATTGATCGGATTAAAAACCGTTGGAATCCATTCACCTTTACTGACGGCAACGTGCATACTTGTGCCGGTAGCACAAAATTCTGAACTTCTGGAGGCTTTGAAGTCGCAGGCAGTTTCGGTTTCAGCTAGGTTTGTGAAGCATTTCTCATGCAGAGACTTATCCAGATACAACCACAACGTTGCTGAGATGTTTGCAAAACTCTGGACCGCAGGTGTCTATGGTGGGGAACGAACGCGCTATTGTCCTTTCCGGGGAGTAAAGCGTTCACCACCGTTATAGTAGGCAGAAAATAATAACGTTATAGTAGGCAGAAAATGAAAAAGGTGTAACATTGTGATTTCAACTACAGCCGCAGCTTAACTGGGTTCTATGCCGATTTGGGTATCCCAGATCAATCCCGCTGACGGGTGATTGCTGTGGCAAAGATCGATGGAAATAGCTGAGAGACACGCGAAGCGAAGGACCCGCATGGTGTGGTGGTGAACACGTTACTCCCCGGAAAGGACAATAGCGCGTTCGTTCCCCACCATAGACACCTGCGGTCCAGAGTTTTACAATTATCTCAGCAATGTTGTGGTTGTATTTCGCTTAGTACCCTGCCGCGAAATTATAGTATGCAGAAAATAAAAAGGTATAACTAATCCAGATACTTAAAGAAGTGGTAGTCGATGGGTTGGAGGCTGGCGAGTGTGATGGATGATGCAGAGTTTCATAGCCAATCATGTTGTTCATCACCGTGTGATTTTGTGTAGACGGATTGCTGCTTTCTGTTGACCAATATGGGGCGTTGAAGTTTCCGGTGTATTTTATTAAATTGCTAGACATAATTCTCCGACTAATAATGAACGACTTAGCTCCAAAGTTGAGCAGAAAGAAACGAGCGACCTGGGGAGCTTTCAAGAGCATCGAAGATCTAGTGAAGAAAACAAGGAACATCCGACTCCGTACTCACCTTCTCGACTCAACGATACTTGCTGCCCTAACGTATGCATCAGAAACTTGGTCGCTGCGTCTGGATGAAAAACCACTGAGCGTTATTGAACGCGCAATCGAAAGGACGATGCTAGAAGTATCCCGTGTCACGCAAGTAAAGGAAGGGATCCGAAGCTCCAACCTGTGTCAACGATCAAAAATCAAAGGTGCCGTTCTGTACGCCGAACAGTCGAAGATAAGGTGGGCCGGACACCTAATGCGTATGAATGACAACCGATGGACAAGAGCCGTTAAAGACTGGATTCCTCGGGATGTCAAACGTACTGCAAAAAGACCACCTACCCGATGCTCAGAGTTGCTCACGAAAAGCCTGGAAGAAAGATAGGATGCTTAACGAGTCCATAGAGCGAGCAGAACCTACTGGGCTACTCTTGCACGCGACAGGGAAAAATGGAAGATTTACTGGTGCTCACTTGAGTCAAGCGACGATCAACGGGACTACAGGTAATACAGGTGAATAATTTCACTCAAGTTCAAGAGTAAATCGAGTGATCGAGTAAATCAGCAGATAACCATCATACGGTCAGCATACTCCGCTTTTGGTGCAGTTTCAGTTCTGAAAGGTGCTGTGGAGCTGCATTACGGTCCAACCATTGAACCAATCGTCGCCGATTTTCAAAAAGGATCCAGTTCTCGTTACACATTACAATACGATCTAGAACGGATCACCCTGATTGGGCAGAAGCGCCGATGACACTTCATAACGACGATTTTTCCTCCACTGTCACTCACTATGTACAGCATTTCTTTGTCCAGCTTCTCGACAGTATGATTTGTTTAGATACTGCGAAAGAGTTGAGATGCTTACAATGAGTTAATCTGCAGGCTCTCAAACACCTGTATCTGTACTTGCTTCCACCATACCCTTCAATTCATCGTTGTCAGTACCAGAAGGACGTACTCGGCCTTCTCCATCTTCAAAGACTAGTCCACCACTACGTTTTCCAGAATGGCGTTGTACTACAAATACAACCACAAGAATGGTGACATGTGAGGAAAACTCGCAACATTAGGTGGGTTTCGAAGCCGTGATTACCCTTGCCGGAGCTCACGTAATATCCACCACACCAACCAAGGCTCTTGCTTTGTCTTTCTTTCAGCCATGTTTGTTATTTTTATTTTTCTTTTTTTTGCTTTTTTGCCAATGTTTTTACTGTTTTTTGCTTTTTTGTTTTACTTTTGTTCTCCTCATTTCCCATTTCCATAACAGCGACAGAGTAAAAACATGGATGAGAAGAAAATACTCGAAAATTTTTATCGAATGGTTCGTTCGACGCTAGAGCCGTTTTTTTCGAGAACTATCAGAGGAGAAAGACAATGCACAAGTATACTGCCATGAAGAAAGAATGGACAGTAGATAAAAGTTAAGCATTGTGATGTCGATAGCAGCTTCGGCTTAACTGGATTCAATACCGATTTTTGCTCTCCAAATAATTTCCGTTGATAGATGATTGTTGATGCTATCGTTAGGGTAACAAACTGGCTGAGAGTAAGGTAGAACAGAAGTCTCATTTGGTGTGGTGGACAACAAACGAGATCCTAGTAATGGTAGTTATGGGTTCGAAGTCCATTTGAGGCCCCAAGCTTTGCTCATATTCCAGCGTTCTTGTGGTTGTAGTTCATGTCGTATCTTGCCATAAAAAAAAGTATGGCCATCAAAGAAAGTTGGAAGACTACGCTGTCCATTCGTTAACACTTCCTTGGTCCAGTACCTCGTTAGTGTTTCGACTCAGTTCTGCTGCGTACGTCCGTGTTTGAATTCTTGAACGCAAATTTATCGAATTTGCTGTTTTGACAGCTCGACTTGTAACTTGCAAAATCTGTCGAAAATATAATCTTTATCGCAATTTAGCTACATGGCACGAAAATTCTTTGAATATGTTTTGTTATTATATATGAAATGGGAAAGCTCTCGATGTTGAGTAATCCTTGGGGAGTGCATCATGCATTCGACTTCGTCAAGCATCGTTAGAGGTGAGTGAGTGCATATCTGGTCTTTGCAATGACTCGCAGTGATCTACCGATGTATCGAGCCAGTACTGCTATCCTCCCAGACGAGTTTGATGCCAGTTTGCCAATTCCGGAGGAATGAAAGGCTTGGCGAGCTGGGGTGCTGGAATCGATTCCGTGTGCACTGCAGGGCGCCTCCGACCACTGCGCGACATCCACCTTTGTTATTGTATATAATGGTGCAGAACTGAAGAGAAATTATTACTAATATATTTTAGAGGAATGAAGTTGCAAATCCGACATAACTTTCTGATATTGGGAATATCATTGCATATTCTCTGGACGTTCTCAACTTGAGACATTGAAATAGAGTCCACAGATTTCAGGCAATCTATCATTGTTGTTGGAATACCGCATACTGCAGCGTCGAATGTCAGCAAGGACATTGGGCGACTCATAAGAAGTTTTGTCGGCGTAAGAAAGGACAACAACAAGGACAAGGGTCCGCAAATTCGGGACAGAGCGGACAGTAGTAGGATGGTGGTGTAGACAGAAATGCCCATCCTCTGAGCACTGTGTGTTGGGTTACCTCATCATTTGTATCTATTTAGTAAGAATCGAATTACAGTCAGTTGAAGTTTGGCGCTTTCAATTACACGTATAATGTTGCAATTACGTCAACATCAAGTCAGACGGTTTGTTCTTTAGTAGATTATCGTTCAAATTCAGAAGCACTTGCAAAAGTTACGTACTGTTTAATCTTTCTATAAAGTACTTGTGTCAGACAGCATCTAGTCTTGGGAGCATTCTTGACTTTGTTTTGTCTCGAATTGATGACGTATAGAATGTAATTATTAATCCAAGACGCTTAAATCTATTCTCTATTATGAGTGGAAACAGATGCATGATGCATATCTAACATGGTACCCGTAAATTATCTTATGAGGATTGACTGCCGCTTCGCAATGTAAAGAATCAACATTCATTAAGTCTGTATAATTGGATTTGGTTGCTTAAATGCTTAGGGTGAAGTTTGTGGTTGAACACTTTCTTCAACGTAGTAGTTTTTATCGTTATTATTCATACATTTAGTATTTACTATACGATTTATTGTTCTTCTTATTCTATGGATGTCCAGGACAGTACAATTTTTAGTACATAGTCGGTTGTTGTACATTGCCATTGTTCAGATACGTCTTCATGTACTCATACAGAATTATTTTATCTGTGTTTTCTCACCTTGAAGGTGAAGCTAGCCGTCTTATGGTTCCATTACCCCGCTTCATCAATTTTTCAATTGATGTAGTCATTGTCGTTACGATTTAGGGCAAATCATATAGTCATAGTAGTTGGTTTCGTATCGTATATGCTGCCTGAAATGATGATGATGATTTGTACCTATCGTCTTTTTTTCCCTTTATTTTTGTTTTTCCACTGGTAGGTTCACCACGGCGATACTCATTATTATGTGTTCATTTATTTGTTATTTGAATTGGTAATGAGAAGTTTGTTATAAAATATGTTTGTGAGAATACTGGTACTTGTTCGATTAGTAATGTCGTGGAAGTTACTTGAATATTTGGAAAGCTCGATGAGCATTTCGCTAATGAAGTTCCATTAGTTCTTCGTACAGTACCAATATATTAAGCGGGGGACTATGTGGTACACAGGATCGACTTTCTATTAACCTCGGCATTGGAATATGAATGCGTCGTTTTCTTGTTCAGCAATCGCGAGGTTTTTAAACAGCATAAATTTATCCATAGAGAAACACAATACAATGCAACACTAGCTGACGTTTCGGCAGTATCGCCTTCTTCAGAGCTTCTTTTTTATGTGACTTCCAATGAGGAAGTTTAAAACAGCTGATTAGTCGCATATGGTTGATGACTTTAAAAAAAGCGGCTCTGAAGAAGGCGATACTGCCGAAGCATCAGCTACTGTTGTATTGTATTGTGTTTCTCTATGGAAGTAATTGTATGCTGTTTAAAAACCTCGCGATTGCTGAACTAGAAAACGACGCATTCATATGTGATACACATTATTTCAGATCAACGGAATTGACATTTAAGGATAGCGCAGTCGTTCTTGGACCATCAACTTTTATATCGGTATGTATATCCATAAGCTAGGTAAAATATATCTTTGGAATATTTGGATCTAATGATGTTATGGTTTAATTTTCGTAGATATGGAGCTGAAGAGAAAGAGATCAATGGGTGAGGTGGAGGCCAATACGACCACAGGTTACATTGTAGAGAACGAGATATATAGAGATGATAAGTAAGTGAGGTATTTTGAGCCTTTTGTTATTACCTGTTCTCCCACTACGGGTGTAATTGGAGTAGGCATCAGTAGTCATCATTTGTCGGTGTCGTGTGCCAGAGTTCCCATTGTAACCGCTTTCCTCAAATGGTACGTACTGCATTATTGTCTTCCTCAAAAGTTCATCTGATAGAGATTGGACCTCAAAGATGGTGGTTTTTCTATCGTTCACTTGACATATAATGTAGTTTTTATGATGTAATGCTCAGGTACTATTACTTCACAACCACAACGTTGCTGAGATATTTGCAAAACTCTGGACCGCAGGTGTCTATGGTGGGGAACGAACGCGCTACTATCCTTTCCGGGGAGTAACGCGTTCACCACCACACCATGCGGGTCCTTTGTTTCGCACGTCTCTCAGCTATTTCTATCGATCTTTTTGCCACAGCAATCACCCGTCAGCGGGGTTGATTTACTTCACAGTTCATCATGCACACAAATACAAATATGACCAACATGTATATATATATATGTGTATATATGCATATATAAGTGCATACTTAACAAATAAATGGTAAGGGCACGGGAAGGTGTTGGTTCTGTTAAACCAGAAACCCGGTGGTTCTCATGAAAATCGTTTACATTATATTTAGCCAAAAGCTTGTCATTCCGCAGGGGATCGAAATCGGTCAGTATTCGGTTAACTAGAGTGGTAAGAAAGTTCATCACTATGCGATGATGCTAAGCCTGTTGGTCATCCATTTTCACTCCCATATCTGTTGTTCAAATTGTTACACGAAATTTTCTAAAGTGGTGTTCAATATCTTTTATCGTATTGTATGACCTTGTAGAGCTACGACTTTACGTAGATATTGGTGTTGGTATAGAATAGCGAGCTTCTGTTTGTTAAACAGCTGTATAGTTCATGAAGAATGTGCAACGGCTTAGACAGCGACTGTCGAGAGCTTCCGTTGTTGCTTTTGTCTCTGCCGAGTTGAAGGTTCTTTTCAAGTCTATGAAAATGAGACAAAACGGTCTGTTGTAGTTTCGCGATATTTCGTTGAGTTTTACTATCGAACGTGGTCTGTCGCCCTGAACACCCTTCGAAATCATGCTTGTTAGCATGGTTAACCTTCATCTGCTATTCAATCAATCTTGTTAGTGGTGACTAGGGTAAAGAACTGGCAGACGACAACTTGTAAATTGGAAAGTAATCGTCTGTCTTTTTGTAAAATCGGCATTGGTTTATCTTTGGCACGAACAATCTATTTCTTAGCTTAATGATAAGCCTAGTCGGCCAATAGGGCGTGTGTAGCGCAGTGGTCGGAGACGTCCTGCAACACAAATGGGGATCGATCCCGCGTCCACATTCACCAAGCCTTCCTTCCCTGCACGGTCGACAGATTGGTACCAGATTGGACGTGTCTGCTAGAATAGCAGCACTGGCTCGTTACATAAGTAAGTCGCGTCGAGTCGTTGTAAAGGCCAGATTTGCATTCAGTAACCTCCAACAATGCTTAATGAAGTCCAGCATATGGCGCAGGATTAATCTACGCTGAGAGCTTTGTTCTTTATCCTTTTTTTTTCACTAATTAGCCTATTCGAGATAGTCACAAACCTTTATTGTGGCTAACGATTCTCTACAAACTTATTTGTCAGCGTTGCAATGATGCGAGTCGAGTGTCCACAGCAACTATTATTCCTTATATAAAAGTCTTCTGAACGCAATAAGTCGAATCGAAAGAGGGGGATCATGTAGGAATGGAGTGATCTCGCTTAGCAATGCTTTTGAAACAGGGCAGTTCGTTACTGAATATTCATTCAGCATTATCTGTTTCAATGAATACATAAAATTGTCGCGATGTTACACTCAATCGATTCAACTTTGTATAAAAGACCAATATCGCTAGAAATAATCTTTTTCGGGGGTTAACTTTTATTTTTGCGGATCTAAAGGGTGCGACAGAGCCGAAACATTAGAGGCTTTGTAATAACCACGTGTAGATTTGTGAACAAACCCAGAAATTGCCGACGTTTTTCGTTTCATTTTTTGTAGAGCAAACGTTTTTACTGATTTTCCAAAGATTGGAAGCCTCGGATCCCAACAGGTAATGACTGAATCGGCTAGGTTTGATGGGTACTGATGTTAGGTTCTTCAGATGTCCGAGTCTAATCCTCTCTCAACAGGGTGTCATACAGCTCCTTCAGCGACAGAGTAGCAAGTGGGGTTTTAGAAAGAAAAACCGTTTGAATGGCTTATCCACCCTCTTTCACTTGAAGTACGTCGAGTTGACTTTTTTGTTTGAAGGACTGGAATCGTCGTGGGTGATCTTCTCTGTTGCTGTTGTGAATGCATCTTTTTCAATCTATGCTCTGGAGAAAGGTCAGCTTGGTTTTACAACTTTCTTTTGGAAACCGTTCTCCATCTTTCATTATGGTTAGCCTTCATCATTTGTGGACAGATATTTGCAAGCCCAAACTTACGTTCTTATTCAATTGGAAATGCATAAAACTCTCGGCGTTGATCAATCTCTAGAGGTGGGCCATGCGATTTCATTAAGAATCGTTGGAGGTGGTTGAATGCACATCTGGTCTTTACTCAACTGGACTCGAGGTGGCCCACCGATGGATGTATTGAGCGAGTGCTGCTATCCTCCCAAACAAGTTTGGTACCAATTGATTGACTACGGAAAGATGGAGTGCTTGGTGAGGGGAGCGCGAGATCCATCCCATGTGTACTGCAGGCCGCCTGCGACCGCTGTGCTACACGCGCCCCTATTAGAACCCATACAAGTTCATACTATTGGCATGCGATTACCAATATAACGAAACAAATAACCTAACTGGTTTTGAAGCTTGTGGACTTTCTTAGCAAGGTATTGAATGTGCCGTCGGTGTTTATGCTTCTTTCGAAAACACTGTCAACATGTTCGGAAACCTTCGGCTATGATGTTTCTTTTAGAATTTCGTCGCTTTCTATTTTTTTGTGGAAGAATGAGTTTTGCAAAGAGGCAAATGTTTGATTGATTGTTTGATTTCGCTTAGAACATTAGAACATTGGAGAAGCGATATAGGGCAAAGCCTTCTCTCGAGGATTATTTAGATTGTGGTAAGTTTCTTTATTACCTTCCAAGATGAACATCTGGAGAATGGTCTTGGCTGTTATCATAAACTTAGATAAGCTACCACCTCTGATCTTGTTTCGTTCGAGTGTTTTATGAGGCAGTTCGTGACTTCGAAATCATCAAAGTTTTTTCCTGGGATG